AAAAGGTCCTCTGCAATAACCAGCTCTTGATAGGGGAGTGCCCTGGGCTGGGAGAGGTTGTGTGTGGGGCTGCCGGTGCTCAGCACAGGGCATGGGGGGAGGCGGCTCACATAGCCTGGGGGCCCAGAGTCTGCACTGTGTGACCAGCAGGAGGAATCACAAGGACGCTCAGGGCTGAAGCAGAAGAATCGTCCAGGGACTGGGGATCCAGGGCCTGGGGAGCCTGGGAGCTGCCAAGGGTTGGAGCTGTGGCGCTCTGGTGCAGGGGACAGCACAGGCCGCGCACAGGATCTGCCGCTGGGACCTTGAGAGGAGGCTGAGAGGAACGCTTAACTCACACGCGCCTGGGAGGATGGGGTTTGGGGTACTGAGGACTGAACTCAGGTTCTTCAAAGGGAGCTATATCCCTAACGCTTTTTTTAGACAGGATTTCCCTAAATCGCTAAATTGTGCACTCTGCGCTTACACTTGTGATCCTCCTGCCTCAGCCTCCCAGTGTTGGAGTACGAGTGTGGACACCAGCCCTGGCTGGAGTTTGTAGCCCTAACTATCCACTTATAAGCATGTCCATCCACACATGTGCTACTCAGTGTTGTGCCACTGTGCTCAACAGTTACGTCCTACATGCATCTAGGCCCTTGCTCAAGTCCTGTGTCTGTCTGGGTTTCTGGGAGGCCAGGGGCCAGGATGGGTGCCTGGCGGGGAAGAGGATGCTCGGAGTTCAGCACAGCAGCCAGATGGGAATGGAGCACAGGGGTCCAGAGACAGGAGGAGGAGGCGGCGGAGGCTGAGGAGGCGGCAGCGGCGGTGGCGGCGGCCTGGAGGAGGAGGAGGAGGAGAAAGAAGAGAAGTGGGCCTGGGATACGGCTTAGCGGCACAGAGCCTGTTTGGCAAGCTCAAGGCCCTGAGTTGGATGCCCGGTACCAAAATAAAAGGGGGGGGGGGCGCCGGGGATTTAGCTCAGTGGTTTCGCCGCCTGCTGCGCAAGCGCAAGGACCAGAGTTCGATCCCCGTACCAAAAGGAAAAAAAAATAGAGGAGGAGGAAAAAAAAGTGGAGGAGGAAGGGGAGGAATGAGAGTTTCGCAGTCCGCCTCCTCCGCCTTCTCGAGGATCCTGGTCTCCCCAGGCCACGTCCCCGCCGCAGGTCCCGAGCCTGCCACCGCTATGCGCTACGCTCTCCATGCGCCCCGCGCCCCTGCCGCCAGGGGGCGCCAACTGCCGGCGAGCAACTGCGCAAGCGTGGAATGGCGGCCACCCGACTAGCAAGTCCAGTGACCTAAGCAGCCAATCCGCGCGAGTTAAACTGATTATTTCAACTGGAGGAAAGTTCCGCCCACACTATCTCTCCTGAGGCTTCACCGCAGGACCCCCAACCGACATTCCTTGATATTGATTGGATGCTGTTCGGCACGTCCAGCTCCGATTGGCTGGCTCCTGGCCCGGCGCGAAGGCCCGGACCGACTTATGGCGTCCTCGCTGGAGCCCGCGTTTGCGCGGGGAGGGTCTCGGCCACCGGCGCGGTTTTGCGACCTCCGCATCCTTTCCGTACCAGGCCACGGGGTTCGGCGTCCCCCTCTGCGCGACACCCTTGCCCTCCCGCGGTGCTCTCCTTAGGGCCACCTCTGGGACCCCGAGGAGAGGAGGGTACGGTCAGGTGTGCTGTACAGAGGACGAGCAGTTATCAAGGCTGAGGCAGGAGGGTCTCATTTTAGGGCCGGGCGGAGCTAGCCTTGAGACCAGGCGTTGGTGGCCCATGTGGGATGACACACGTCTGTCATCCCAGCACTTCGAGAGGCTGAGACAGGAGATTCACAAGTTCAAGTCCAGCCGGGGCAATTTAGCGAGTTAACAAGATCCTCATTTTTATATATATAAAAAAAAGGACTGGGGGTGTAATCTAGCGTTAAGGCCCTGTGTTCAATCCCCCGTTAAAATTAAACAATACAAGAAAAACAGGAAAGAAAGAGGCTTGTGCAGGTAGGGACGCTGGGCGCAGTTACCACCTTTGCTTGGGGAAAGCCTCCAGGAAAGGACTCCAGGTATACCTGTCTGGAGGCTCCACACTTGCCCCTCACCCACGACTTCTGCCCTCGCCAGCCCTGACTCGGGTTACTGTCACAGTTGACAGTGGGAAAGCTCACTTGTCCCCATCCTGGGCTAGGGGGAAGCTGAGGCAGGCCAGTCCCTGCATGTGGTCACCTGCAGTGGTGCCACACCTGGGTACCGTTGTCCCCGTGCCCAGGCCCAGGCGGGAAGTGGCACACTGCCAGCTCCTAGTTAACCAGCTTATCTTTAGATATTAAACCCGGAACTCAGAAAAGGCTGTGAGATGCACAGGGTTCTCTGAATACTTCATGTGTTAAGAAGTGTCTGCTGGGGTTGAGGTGGCTGGTAGAGCTAGAGCTCCTGCTTAGTGTGCTTGAGACCCTGGTTTCAATCCAGGCTTCACTGGCAAACAGCAAGGCAGTGTCTGCTGAAATGCCCTACGTCCCAGGAGCAGCATTCAGGCTGAGTAGCCTGCTTGGCCTGGGTTCACCACCCAGCTCCTGCATGCACATTCCTGTTCAGAGCCCAGAAGCCACAGAAGCACTGGGCTCTGAATTCTTATCACTAAAACAGGGAAGGCGGGGTGACAAGCACTGCCATCCACAGGGACGGTACACCCATGGGGAGCCAAGGTAGGAACCCAGTGCAGGTCACAGGGGAGCCCTTCTGGAGCCATGGTGCTGGGAACATCAAGGACTGCTCTGGGGCCAGGTGGCAGAGTGACCTGGACACAGAGTGGCACTCCCAGGGCGCCCTCCTGTCACCAGCCTGCCTCACCCCAGAAATGCTCTTTCCCCTGCTCCTGCTGCTCCTAGAATCCTTGAAGGCTTTAATGTTCTGGAGGAAAAGTAATAAAATAGGAATTTCTTAAGATTGACTAAAGAAGCTGGGTGCAGTGGTGCACACTTGTAATCCCAGCATTTGGAAAGCTAAGGCAGGAGGATCAAACTTCAAATTCTGCCTGAACAATTGAGAGAGAACTTGTCTAAAAATAAAAAGGGATGGGGATGTAGCTCAGTGTAAAGGCACTGGGTTCCATGACCCCCACCACAGGAAAAGCCAAGACTGACCAGAGGTAAAAGGAAGTGGCTGCTGCCTTGCCTGGCACGGCGTATCTCTCCTGCCTCCCCAGATGCAGCAGCTGTCACAGGCATCACGACACAAAGTGCACGCTCATCCATATTCATACATGCACACCAAGAGGCTGGAGACACAAGCTGCTGCTGCTGCTGCTGCTGCTGCTGCAGAGCAAGACTCTCAGGGTCCCCTTTAATCGATGCAGACCCAGCAGCCCAGGGAGAGGCCTCTCCAGCATCCACAGCATGGTTTCCTGGTGCAATTCTGCCCCCAGACTACTTCCTGAATCTAGAGCACAGGAACAGCCCTGCAATGTCAGAGTCTGAGGGCTGAGATTGGCCTTTGGGACACTGTGGCACCGAGAGGCCACTGTCAAAAGCACAGCCAGGCCAGGGAGGGTGGCCCACACCTGTAATACCAGGACTCTGGGAGGCTGAGGCAGGAGGGCTCCAAGTTCAAACCCAGCGTGCGCAGCTCAGTGGAATCCTGTCTCAAAGTAAAACTGAAAAGGGGCTGAGGATGCAGCTCAGTGGTAGAGAACCTGCCTGGTATGCAGGAGGCCTTGGCTTAGATCCCTACCTTGTAGGAAAGAAGAGCCCACAGAGGCATTGGCTGTAGGCAGTGACGGTCTAGATCCTCACTGCCTTCATGTGACAAGGGCTCGTTTCTGAGCCTCGCTCTCCCTCTCTCCCTCTCTCTCTCTCTCTCTCTCTCTCTCTCTCTCTCAGCCTCCTCCTCCAGGCCAAGGTGGAACTATTCATGAGATAAGACTACAGAAGCACCCAGAAGCCCCTGGCCCAGCAGGCCTACCATCCGTGTGTAATCTCCTCTTGACCTTGCATGGCCGGCACAGAAGACAGAGGGGTGGAGAGTGTCCCTCCTGCCCATCTTTCTGGGCCGTCCTCTTCCCACGGGCCTGCTGAGAGCAGCAGCAGCTCCTAAGCAGCCCCGCAGGTGGTGGCACTCACAGAGAGTTCACCTTTTTGCACAAGTGATGATGCCCTATTAAAACTGCCCTATACACTTTTCCATTTAAAAATATGCCTAGGAGAGCCAGGCATGGCAGTGCAGGCCTATAATCCCAGCTCTCTGGGAGGCTGAGGCAGAAATATCGCATGGTTGAGCCCAGCCCAAGCAAATTAATGAGACCCTGTCTTAAAAACTAAAATAGGCCTGGGGATGTAGATCATTGTGAAGACCCTGGATTCAACCCCCAGCACTGAGGAGGAAAGAGTCTGGGAACTATTTCCAAGTTAGCCACAGAGGTCCCAGAGCTGTGTGAAGGGAGGGGCCCCACTTCCCCACCACCCTCTTGGATGGAGGTCAAAGACATGGCCCATCCCTGCCTGAGCTCTGTATGGCAATTCCCATGTGGGTCCCAACACTTCGGTTCTGCAGGGGACTCTTGGAGGCTGGGGCTGGGGACCCCTCCCTGCCTGCCACCTGCAAAGCTAGCTGCCCATGACTCCTCCTTCTGCCGAAGACGACCTGCCTACCTCCCCAGCCAGAGACCCCAACTCTTTGCCAGCTAGTGTTCCTCAGCGTGAAGGACAGCAGGACAGGGCCTGGAGTCCTGGCCAACATCTAGTCCAGCAGTGGCCTCCTGGTCACAGGGCATCAGGCCTGGGCAGAGGGTGTCCTCCCAGTCCAAGTGACCGCAGTCTCAGGTCAGCCCCCATGCCATCTGCCCTGTGCCCAAGGTGGCCCGCAGAAGCCCAGGACCTGTGCTGACCTCAGAGCAGCCCAGGGAGCTACCGATGCCTCCCTCGCCTCGGCCTCAGCCCTGGCCAGGTGTGGCAGGTGGGGGAGGGTGGGAGGGCCAGAGGAGTCCGACCAGTTTCCTCAGCAGCTCTGGGTGGGGCCACAGGCTTTAAAGGTCTGTGCACAGCCCAGACCTGCTCCCGCTGTGCCCAGGTGAGCGCCCAGGTGTGCAGGTACTTGGGGGACTCCAGGGATGCCAGAGGAGGGGGTGGCCCCAGGTTCCTCTGAGGGTGGGTAGCAGGTGCCAGAAGACTCTAGGTAGTGGGAGGCCTGCTAGGCTTCTGAGGATAGAGGCTGCAGTAGCCTCGTGGGACCTGGAGGGTTCCTGCAGCAACAACTGTGCAGGGGTGGGATGGGCCAGAGCAGCTGGTCTGGAGAGCAGCCATCACCTTCGAGGGGCTGGGGGCTGGGGGTGGGGTGCACGGACTGGCCTGCCCTGGCCACATTCAGAAACCAGGTGTCCACTATCCCCTACCTGGCAAAAAAAAAGAAAAACAAAAACAAAAAAAACGTGTTTAAAAAAAAAACATGGGCCGGGGATTTAGCTCAGTGGTTTTGCCGCCTGCTGAGCAAGTGCAAGGACCTGAGTTCGGAGTTCGATCCCCGGTACCAAAAAAGAAAACCAAAAAAACAAACCATGTGTTTTTGAATTTACGTAAAAAAATTTTTTTTTGGTTTTTTGAGACAGGATCTCAAGGTTGGCCTTATACTAACTATTCCACCCAGGCTGGCCTTGAACTCCTGGTGATCCTCCCTCAGCCTCCAGAGTGCTGGGATTATAGGTGTGCACCACCATACCATATATTTACATAATGTAAGAGGTTTGAAGTAGTAGACTATATTTTAAATTCAACAAATACTAGTTCACTTAACTCTACTGTGAAGCTTTCAAGGTTACTACTATTACAGTCACTGGAGCCCAGAGAGTGTAAGGGACCTGGTAGGTGGCTGAAATCCATGGTCTCATCCAATGATGGCGATGGTGGCTTCAGGGTGGACCGTGCATTAACACCGGCCTGGCTGATGCTGAGGCTCACAAAGCCAGGACCCAGTCCCCCAGGGAGGAGAGGGGCTGTGGGTAGAATCACACCCCAGAGAGAGGCTCCATGTGACTGTGGGGCCCAAGGGCCTGGAGCAAGCCTGGGCGGCACCCAGCCCAGCATCCCCGCCCCAGGCCTTTGTGAATAACCCCTGGGCTACCTCGGCTCAGACTGCGACCTTGACCTTGGCCATCCCTGCCCCTCCCCAAATTCCATTTGTTTCCTCCTGTGACACCGAGATAATGATCGTGTCTCAGGAGCAGGAATACTACAGAGCTTACCAGCACCATCCAAGCCCATTCCTCTCCACAGCCAATCTGCAGAGCCCAGGTAGGTGCAAGCATCTGGCCCCAAGCCTGGGGGCTTGAGCCCCCCCTCCCTGCCTACTCAGCCCAGTCCTCTCCCGTCTTGTCCACAGACCTGCCCGAAGGTGGTGCCATGGCAGCAGTGACCCAGGCCTTCCTCCTGGGACTAGCAGGTGAGTCCGGAGCCTCTCCCTCTCCGGGAGCTGGCATGCAGGGAATGCCAGCACGGGCAGGATGTGGGCACTGCAGAAACGTCTTCATGGGTCCTGAGTCACTGAGCCTGTTTCCTAGGAGGTAGAGAGGTAGGCACCACAGGAAGCTACAGGCACACTAATAAGTTGTCCATTCTGCACAAAGCAAGAACCACAGGAAGCCTGGGGCTGGGGCCGGGGGCCCAGGTGGGGAAGGCACTAGGAAGGGCAGACGTGGCCCAGGGTGGCCTCCATGCCCTGCAGATGGCACCCATGCCACCACTAACCGCTGTCCTCTGCTTTCTGCCAAGGCCTGCCCTCCACAGAAGCCATCGACCTGTTTGGTGAGGAGCACCCTTCTTCCCAAGCCCCCACCCTGTCCCAGGGTCTGGTCTTGACTTTCTCTTTCTCTTTCCTCAGAGAAGGAGAGTCCCTTCTACTACGGTAAGAGCTGCCACCCCACCCACTCCACCATGGCCCACTCTGGACCTCTCTGCCAGACAGGCCAACCGGGGCCAGTGTGGACATGGGAGACAGGAATGAAGGCTGCTCCCTGGGGTGGGGACGGGGATGGGGTGGGGGCGGAGCCACCATCCCCCTGCTCTTCTTCCCACCTTCCTTTCTTGCAGGCTGGGGCAGCTCCCAGCTCTGGACTCCTTTCAGCACTGCTTTCCTCCTTGCTCTGTGCACTTCCCCTCACTAGCCACCTGTCCCTGTTGGAGCCCACATGGCATCTCATGACTTGACATGCAAGTGGGTAGCTGGGCATCCCCCCCCACACCCTGCAGGGGGCCCACCCCGGCCTTGGTGGGGAGGCACTCTGCCAGGTGCTGCACCCCTGCCCACCCTAACATTACGGATGGGCAGCAGACTTGTGCACCCCACAGGTTGTGTGCATGCCTTGGGCTTGCTGTTTTCAGTGCTGGGGATGGAGCCAGGTCTCACACAGGGGTACCCTGAACCCTGGCCTGGCCCACAGCTGTCTCGGGCTGAGTGAGTGAAGCTCACTCTGCTCCCTCTCCTGCCCAGACTGGGAGAGCCTGCAGCTGGGTGGCATGATCTTCGGGGGGCTCCTGTGCATCGCCGGAATCGCCTGGGTCTTGAGTGAGTGGGGGCTGGTGGGGTGGTGGGGGCATGGCTGGGTGGCTCTGATCATCTTCCCTCCTCGTAGGTGGCAAATGCAAGTGTAAGCGGAACAAGGGACACAGGTGAGGGGGACCTGTGGGAGGGGTGGCTGCCCAGGTTTGGCATGCACAACCCCTACCCTGATGGAGACAGCTCTGCACCCTGGGGAAGGGACACAGGAGCCCTGTGCTGGCTGGTGTTCACTGGCTCTGTCCTTCCTACAGCCCCCTACCCAAGAAGGGCACTTCAGTCCTCATGCCAGGTGAGCTAGGCTCCCGAGGGTGGGCGAGGTCTGTGTCCCAGGTCACACGTGTCCCTGAGATCCTGCTCCATTCTCTGCAGGTGTCAGTGCCTGCTGAGGACCAGCCTGGTGGGACTCATTGCCCACAGCCTCACTCCCGGCTCCCTCCCAGGATGGCCTGGTCCCTTCTGGAGCTCATGTATCTATTAAACAGTCTCTCCACCTCATGGTCTCTGTGGGTCGCTGGGGAGAGACGAGGTACATTCAGTGGTCCCTGTAGCCCCATTTCACCTCCTACCAGAGCCTCATCCCCTGCATGGCCCATGCAAGACCCCCAGTTTCCAGCCCTTGCCCTGAAGGCCCAAGGAGCCCATGGCCCAGAATGACTCCTGGTAGCCACCCTCCTGAGAGCACTGAGACCCCTCAACCATCACCTGCTCCCTGGCCGTGACCCCAGATGGCAGTTTCTTTGAGGGGGCCCCCAGCTGTCAGTGCAGCACAGGGAACCCCCACCCCTAGTTTCCTTGAGACCCCAGGAAAAACCACAGCCAAGAGCCCTGCAGGTGGCAGCTTTAGACCCGAAGCCATCTGTCCATCCTTCCCAAGACCTCACTGGCTGTCCTCTTCCTACCACAGCCTGCAGTGGCTACTGACCACAGGTGCCAAAACTGGATGCCACAGGAGACAGTGGGGTACTGGGCACCCCATCTGGCCTGCCACCCTCAAGGGTTTCCAAGGGAGAGAAGGGGGCGCAAATCTCCTGGGCCATGCTCGGGCTCCTGGGAACAGAATGGCATCCATAGCAGATGCAGTGGACAGGGTCTCAAGGCAGTGCTCAGCCCCTAGAACCCCAGGCAAAGTAACAGTGGCTCTACCCACACAGCCTCTGTTGACCCAAGGTACGGCATCTGCACCCTGCTGGAGTCTATGGCCATACCACCTTTGACCATGCCCATCTCATCTACCCTGCTGCACAACCGGACATGGGCCCTCCTGCACCTCAGCCCTGCTGTGCTTCCAGTCCCCATGTCACCAAGAGCCCAAATGCTGACATCCAGTCCCAGGCAGACAGTGCTTGGGCAGGACACCAAGCAGGTTGGGGGACACACCCAGGCAATGAGATATCCCTCCGGGCTTCCCTTGGCAAGGTTAGGGGACAAGGTGGGCTGGGTGTAAACCCAGGGTGCAGGGTGCAAGGGGTTAATTTCCACCAACTGAGCATTCCACCTGAGGGACCCACCCCAAACACTTCCCAGTGCTGGCTCGGTGTCCTGGCAACCTACGACATGGGGCAGTGTCTGTGCTAGGGGGCTGAGGCACCCAGAGGTTCTCTTGGGCTAGCACAGGGCACTGGCAGCCTCTGGCACTTCTGGGACCTGGGCTCCATTCCTGATATAGTCCCAGGGCAGGGAGGGGGCTCTGCGTGCTTGGTGACGTAGCCTTCCTTGGTTAATTTTTACTATTCTCAGTACTGGGTATTGAACCCAGGGCCTTGCACTGAGATACATCCCCGTCCCTATTTATTTTTGGTATCTGGGATTGAACTTGGGACCTTGCACTTTCAAGGCAGGCAGTGGCACCACTGAGCTAAATCCCCAGCCCTTTTTTATTTTTTGAGACAATAATTCACTGAGTTGCTGGGCTCCAATTTGCCATCCTCCTGCCTCAGCCTCCTACTGTGCTGGGATCACACATGTGCCGCCACACCCAGGTATTTTCGTTTTTGTTGTTCTGTCAATAAATTTATGGTCGTTATCTGAAAAACTTTCACAGAAAATTACTTGGCTTAAACTCAGAATCCTGTTCCCTTGCTCTGAGGAAGCTTCTTTGGAGCTCCCTCCTTTTTAACCTCATCTATTTGGGACAGGGTCTCACTAAGTTGCTGACTACTTACTATCCCCCTGCTTCAGCCTCCTCTGTAGCTGGGGTTACAGGCTTGTGCCACTATGGTGGCTTTCTTTTGCTTCACTGATCATTCATGCTTACTACAGTGCAGAGGCCTCTCACAAGGCAAGCCAGCTTCTAAGCGCACTCTAGCATCACCTTAGGGCAGCAAGCAGGACCTTCTGGTCAGTTTCCCCACCTGCCCTGGAGGACTCAGGTGTCAAAACCCACAGCTGACACTTGGAAAAACTGCTTTCTTCTGACTTGAATCCATACTGTTGTCATTATTGTATTGGATAACAGGTCTTACATATAAACCCCAGGCTCTAAGATATATGGAGCTTCAGTGGGGGAGCATTTGCCTCCCCTGCAAGAGAAATACATCCAATTCTGTACTTCTATTAAATACATCTACTATTTCTGTTCCTGTTCCATTTTTTCAATTTAAAAACACTTTGCATTGGGCTAAGGCTTTAGCTCAGTGGTTCTGCCACCTGCCTAGCAAGCACAAGGTTCCAAGTTCAATCCCCAGTACCAAAAAAAAAACAAAAACAAAACACTTTGCATTGATTTTGAGATGTATGCATTTATTCTGAGGTCCCCAGCCCCACCACGCCTCTACTCCCTGCATGGGAGTAGCAGTCACACCCAGGATGCTGACAGCCACACAGCCATCCACATTATGGAGACACTGCCAGTCTCATGATACTTGTGTGCTGTTCAGTTCTGTGCAGTGTTACACATATGTATGTGGAGATGTGTGGCTACCACCACAGTCCATTGCAAGGGTCCCTCGTGCCACAGTGATTGTGAGGCCGAGTCTGAAAATTTAAAAGGGGGTGGGAGGCTGGGGATGTAGCTCAGTGCCAAAGCCCTGGGATCAATCCCCAGTACATTAAAAAAATTCTTCGGTTTGGGCAGATACCACAAGGAAAGGTGGACACGGTACCTCTGCTGGGGCTGCAGGTCATCCATAGAAAGTGGTACAGCAACAGGCAGAACCTCTGCAGCTTTCTGCTAATTAGACGGAATAAGTGAAGTGTGACTCCAAAATTCAAAAATCCTATCAGGCCATGTGGTGGTGACACCTGTAATTCCAGCTACTCTGGAGGCTGAGGCAAGAGGATCAAAAGTTTAAGGCCAGCCTGGGCAACTTAAGGAGACAGTGACTCAAAAACAATAATGGGCTGAAGTGTAGCTCAGAGGTAGTATACTTGGCATGCCCCTCCAGAATCCCCAGGTTCAATTCCAGCACTGACAAACATTATGCCCTCGATGTAGGATCTTTCTTGGATGCTGAGATGGAGCTCAGGGTCAGGCCCAGCTGTGTGTCCTTTTTCCTTTAAGTGCACCAGTGATGGCCAGGAGCACAGGCTGACAATGCATCTGTGGTCTCTGATGCAGCCACCCAGCTCCCTGCAGTAGCAGCATGAGTAGCCAGGCCACGCACCACCAGGCAGGAAGGCCAGATGAGGTCCACGGACCCTAGCCTGAGATGACTGGGCCCGTGACACCTTGCCAAGGCCACAGAACCCTGTTTGCCCTCCCTTTAGCACACAGGGCATCCAAGGAGCCAGGCACCAATGGAGGGTCATTGTATGACATCTATGACATCACTGTAACAAAGCAGGGCCATTGGCTTCATCCCAGGAACACACAAGTGTTCTGCTGCCAGTTGTGAGAAAGTGAAATGCTTAAAAATCTGCAACTTGATGCTGACTGGAAAGGATGCATTCATAGCCGTCAGAGGTGCTGGTCCTATACCAGTTAAGGACTGCAGCCGTGAAGACTTGGTCCCTCTTCTGGGATCCACAAGGAGATAGGATGCTTGCCTTCCGTCGTGGCAGAAGTTAATACACACAGCACTTATTGTCTTGGGTGAGGGGCACCATCTTTGGCCTCTCCATTTGAGGGACCCAGCATGGGGTACTGCCCAGCATACCTTCCCATGATCCTAGGGACAGTGAATCAAAGTCTGCAAACCTGTGACCCAGGAGACCCACCTCCATCACCCTACCTACCTTCAGAGGCCATGGGGGCACTGTGGCTGCCCTGGTACCCAGCAGCCTGAGACTTGCCTGTGTAGTGTAACACTCTTGGTCTGACAGGAAGTAAAATGAGACCCTGGGGACCAGGGTGGCTCAGAGTAGTGTGTACCTCATGGAGGCCCTGGGTTCCCTGCCCAGCATCAAAACAGACAAGACCAACATCCAATCTCTGCTCCAAGATCTTACCTGCTCACCTTAGTAGTGCCAAGTTACCCTAGACAGAATGCTGTCAGCCTGCCAGGCCCAGCTGTTTAGGACTCCTGTGTCCCAAAGGCTGCCACCACCTGCCACCTGGACTCCTCAAACCCCCACTTTTCTTTCCTTACCAACTCAGCATCCTCACTCCTTCAGAGCATCCCTAGCTGCTCTGGCCAGAAGGCCCATCCTTCCCAGTGTACCTATCACCTGTGTCCCCTCCCTGCAAGTGGAGCCCAGTGGGTTAGCAGGAAGAGGCCAGGAACCAACCCACTTTGCACCCTTAGCCTACTCAAAGACTGGATCAGGCTCCAAGCTGGGGGTGGGTTGATTTTTGGTGCTGCACTGCTCCCCACTTCTCAAACTAGTTTTCTGCAACATGGGTTGGCCAACTTTTAAGAAGCCAGGTAGTATTTCTGGTTTTACAGGCCAGTTAACGTTTTCACTTTTTCCAGTGCTAGGGACTGATCCCACGACACTGAACTACATCCCCCTCCCCTTTTGGGCAGCCAGGGTCTATGTAGTTCAAACTGGCCTTGAACTATGTAGCCTGGGCTGGCCTGAGAGCCTTTTTAATTTTAAATTTTGAAGCTGGGCATGGTGGACCATGCCTGTAATCCCAGCATTTGGGAGGCTGATACAGGATTGCTTGGAGTTAAAGGTCAGCCTGGGCTACAAAGTGAGTTCAAGACCAGCCTAAACTACACAGCAAGACTGTCTCAAAAAAGCCAAATAAATAAATGTAAATTTTGAGACAAGATGGCTCAAAGTTTCTGGGGCTGCTAGGATTACTAGCATGTGCCACCACACTGGGCTTGTTCTATTTATTAGGAAAACTCAGATAAACTTCTACTCAGCACTGAGGACACTGAGACAGCAGGACTCACATTTGAGATGTCTCTTGTACCACATAGTCAGCTATGGGTTCTTAGGAGGCAGCATTGTGCAAAATCATCCTTGGCCTACAGGTAACATGAAAGTGAGGGGCAGGCTGGATAGGGTTGGTCCAGCCCTTAAGCTTGGCTAACTTCTACAGACCATGAGACCTTGGTGTGGGTATCAAGGGTCCCCAACATCTAGACAGGTGAGGTGACACACCCTAAAGGCAGAGTGTGTGCTTGGGCTGACCCACTGTCCAGTGAAGCCTGCAGCCAGGTCTGACAGCCCAATCCCAGTAGCTTTCTCCAGCCCCCAGGTCTTTCACTCCTCCTGCTGCCCACCAGCACCTCCATATGCCTATCTCACGCCATCAGGGCACATGTGCTGGGGTGAGGCTGGCAGGCTAGGCACAGCTGTGAAGCTCAATGTTCCATCAGACTACTCAGGAAACACTTGGGTTCAGCGAGCAAGCTTCCCTGTAAAAGCAGGAGCAAGGCGCGAGACAAACACCTTAACTGGTGAAACCAGGGTACCTCAGCCACACTGTTTGGCAATCAAACACAGGTGGGAAGATGGAAACAGAGGACCTCTGGGACCACACACCTGGCAAACCCTGCACGAGAGGCTGAGGCAGGAGATCACCAAGAGCTGAAGCCAGCCTGGACTACATAGTGATGAAACTGTCTCCACACAACATTAAAAAAGAAAAAAACCTGGGAGAAGCACTACCCACAAAGTATTTCTGCATAGAATGTTTTTGTAAAGTTGTATTGCCAGATGAGAAGCATGGTAATGAGCCACATGTCACTGCCTGGGGCTGGACACTTGCTCTGCCGGTGGGCAGCCGTTTTGGTTGGTTTGGTACCGGGGACTGAATTCGGGTCCTTGCGCTTGAGAAGCAGGTGCTGAAACCACTGAGCTAAATAAATCCCCGGCCCTGGGCAGCAGTTTTGACAGCAGTCTAAAAACAGGTCTCCCGTTCCAGTGTGCACATCCCCTAATAACCTGTCCCTACCAACTCAAGAAGGCACGTTCCATAGGAAGCACAAGAACACTGCCGCCACATCTCAAAGCAGACTGGAAACGTAATACAAGGCAGTTGGCCAATGGCCGTGAAACACTCCAATTTGATGGGAGTGGGGCTGGGGATTTAGCTCAGTGGTTTTGCCGTGTGCTGCACAAGCACAATGACCAGAGTTCGATCCCTGGTACTAAAAAAACCCCAACAAATTCAGACACCAGATGTGCCAAGGCAAGTAGGCCACTAACACCAACCTGCCCTGTGTCACGCTGGGGCTGTGTTCCTTCACCCTCTACAGGGTGTTTCAGTCACCATTTCCACCATTCATGTGTTGAACATTTTATTACTTTTATTTTAGCCTCAATGCTAATAAAAGGGAGATCATAGATTTGATGTAGTTTTCAAATCCACACCAAAACATTAGGATTAAAATGAATTCTTGCCAACCACCCATTTTGCTATTTGCTGAGCAGATAATCTGTGCCAGTCATTGTGAAAAAGTCTTTATTTTAAGAAAAAAATTTAGTTAACAAAAATTTTTTAACAAGTTTCACTTAGCAAAATACACCCAAAAGGAAATCACATTACAAAGAAAGCTTTAAGTCAAGGCCTCACCAATTCCTACAGTATTAGTATTGTGTCTCAATTCTCAAAACTAACTTTTTAAAAAGCTTAAACTTAACCTAAAAGATTTAAATGAAAATATAAACTAGAATGAACAAACATGAGAAATGTTCCTCTTTGAATTAGGGATCTAGCACCTTTGAGTTGTCCAAAAAGTACATCTCCCCAAGGTGTTCACGGGTCGGCGCCAAGGATCCAAAGTTTCCTTAACATACTTAACTACTTAACTCAGGAAACACCACTCCAAGTATACTACCCAAATGTTAATCGAGAAAAGCGGAAGGAAGAAAATAGTTTTAGTTTACTCAATATCACATGCTAGAAGGAAAGTTTGCATGAGAAAACACTGAAGAGGTAATTTTTTAATCCAGATTTCACAAACTCATGGTGCAAAATGGGTCCCACAGCTTCCTCTAGTCATAAACTGCTCCTCACTGCGTGTCGGCTGCCTGTGACAATTTGATCGAGGACTTCAACCTCCCTAAGCAACTAGTCATACCCCCCCATGCTGTTCTGACCGCTGTAGCTGGCCCCATAGCAGCCACTCACTGACTGGCTCTCTAGGCCACTGTAGGTGGCCTGGGCGGCTGACACCCCCATGCCCTGCATCACCTGGCTGCTGTAAGCCCCATTGCTGGCCCCCGTGGTGGAATTGAGAAAGAGTTCTATGTAGCGGTGCTGCATGTTGGCCCTGTCCTTAGACATGGCTGCCACAGCTTCCTCGTGGGTGGCGAACTCCACATCGGCCTCCCCCGTCACTCTGCCGTCAGGCCCGATCTCGATGTGCACTCTCACGGGGTTGAGTGGTGAGAAGAAGTTGTAGATGTCGTTCTCGGTGGCTTTGTAGGGCAGCCCCCTCATGTGGACACAGTGGCCAGTGGTGCTCTGCACTGTGAACTCGCCGTCTCCGTATCTGTGGTCGTACATGCCGGAGAGACAGTAGCTGAGGTCTCTCCCAAACAGGTCGGTGGTGAAGCCGTAGCCATCGCTGAGGCCGCTATACTCCTCATAGCCCCCGTAACCTGCACTGTAGGCCCCGGAGCGCATCCTCTCCAGGCCTGCCTGCTTCACAATGCCAATGTACCTCCGTGCTGTGCCGGGACGGTCATAGGGCCCAGGCCGTTGCACGGACATGAACTTCAGGGGTGGGTCTGAGTACGACCTCACCTCCTCCTGGCTGCTCTTGAACACCTCGATGTACCTGTGCCCGATCCTCTCCTTGTGCTTCCCGAGTGCCTTCTCAGCCAGCTCCTGCGAGGCGAACTGCACGAAGGCCTCACCTGTGATCTTGCCCTCGGGGTCCACAGGCAGTGTGATCCCATTTGGCACGATCTCCAACCCTGAGAAAAACTGCACGATCTCTTCCTTTGTGCATCCAAATGGGAGTCCCCGGAGCCGCACAAAGCCATCGTTGGCGGTGTCAGCGCTGTTGGGACCGCTGTGCTTCAACACCCAATCCATCTCGGTTCTGTGAGACTTGAACACCTCAATGTACCGGTGCCCCATGCTTTCCCTGTCTTTTTTCAGGGCCATTTTGACATCATCTTCAGACTCGAGTTCAACAAAAGCCTCACCACTCTGCCTGCCTTCTCTAGTGTAAATGAAATGGACACCTGCCACCCCATCACGAATCGTGCAGTCGGAGAGAAAGTTCTGCACGTCCTCAATCGAGCAGGACCAGGGCAGCCCACGGAGCTTGACCACATAGCCTTCACCTCCCTCAGGGCCCAGCATCGTGAGCACTCGGCCAGGCGGTTGCTAGACAAGCTTGGGCGCAGCTGTGTGGCTGTAAGAAAGCAAAAACTACTTTACATGATTTTACTTTTAATAGGCATGACAAGAATAAGAAAGCAGCAACAGAACTGAAGCACCAAGAACAGCCAGGCCAGGCCCCTGGAGTCCTACAACATTCGCCAGGCCAAGGCAGAAAGATCCCTAGACATGGTTTAGAAGCCAGCCTAGGAAACAGAGCACACCGTCTCAAAAAAAAAAAAAAAAAGAAAAAGAAAAAAAAAATTAAGAAAGAAAACATACATTTCAGAGCTATGAATCAATGCCAGGTCATTCAATAAGAAGCAAAGAGTAAAGAATGAAGAGCAGAACAGTGATCTGCAAGTTTTGGTATAAAAGTTAAGTATGTTTTCTTGGTCAATTACTACAAGCTTTCAAAGGGAAGAAAAGAGAATGAATTTGGATGCAACATTTAGAAAGATTAAAAAATTTTCACAGCTCAGTGTGTTGGCATACATCTATAGTCCCACATACTCCAGAAACTGAGGCAGGAGGATCACTTGAGCCAAGCTAGGACTTTAGGGCCAGCCTGTGCAATACAGTAAGACCATGTCTCTTAAAAAAAAAAAAAATCAAAACTAGATAATCAGCATTACATCAAGGAAACCTATAGATAGCAAACAATCATTGAACAGATAACCTATAGAAAACTTTTGCAAATTATGTATTTGACAAGGGATTAACATTCAGGAATCTTTGGTGTTGCTGTAATCCTAGCATTAGAGCTGGCTAAGTAGGAGGATCACAAGTACCAGCCTAGTTAGGGAAATTTGACCCTGTTTCAAAAACATTGAGACAAAGTCCCTGGGTTCAATTCCCACTACCAAAAAGAAAAACAAAAAACAAAATAACAACAAAGCCATTGGGCAAATAAACAATGCTCCCATTAGCAACAGTTTTTGGGGGTTTTTTGGTACCAGGGATCGAACTCGGGTCCTTGCACTTTCGGGGCAGGCAGTGGAACCACTGAACTAAATCCCCGGCCCAGCAACAGTCTTGAATAAGTCTTTCTCTGGGCGGTGGGGTCAGGTCCAGGCAAATGCCAGTTCAACAAGGCAGCCTGAGCCACCCAGTGAGCAGACCACCCACCTTCGGAACATTAGTTGTACACACAGCAAGTAAGGGCTGAACTGCTGGACTTTAGGTCTACGTCCACAGGGAAGACACTACAAGGCCTGCATTTTGCTGCCAATGTGGAAAGGGTACCGGGACAAAAAATAAGCCGTACCTTCACATCCAGTGGGGCCGAGATGCCTCTGCTGACACGGTCAAGTGCACACAGCACCTGAAGCTAAACTCATGTGACAGAGAGGGCAAGCAGGCAGGATGACACTGGACTGTGTGTAATCCCAAACACTCCAGGAGGCTGAGGTGGGAGAAACTGAAAGTTTGAGCCCAGGCTCAAACATTTAGCTCAAAAAATACAAATTGAATGGACTGGATGCAGCTTAGGGTGAAGGGCCTGGATTCAACCCCCAGTATCACCAAAAGACAAGTCAATGATAATTGCGACATAAAACCCTAAAGCAGTAAGGTAAGCTCTGAAGAAGTAGTGAGAATGAGATGCCTATCAACACACCTCCATGATGCAGACTCCACTCACTTTATCTACTCCCGACCAAAGATGACAGGAACACCCCCCATGCATGCCTATTTAGAACAGTGAAGAACTCAGATTCCTTCATACCCCCTAGTAATAGTGCAATGCCACAAGCAAAGTAACTCAAAAATGCTGCCAATATCAAGCACCAGGAACTCATTCACCACCTAAACTGAGGATGTGGCACAGACCCTCACTGGGTACTACACCTCCCAGGCCTCATCCAAAACCCCACAAGCAGCTACCACAGCCCCCCTTCTCTCCTGCCCACCACAGAAATTTGTGTTTTATTGTGCTTCTGGGGGTGATGAGCCTAGGACCACAGATAAAGGTAGGGGCTCCTGGGACTCCTCCAGGCCCAGCACTGTCTGTCCTGGGTTTATGAACATTCCTCGCTCACACAGAATCTCGTGGTGCCACGAAATTGTTCCCAGCCTTAGGCCCAGCATCCTCCTGGAGTATGAGCTATCATCCACTATCTCCTCCCTGAATCTTCCTCCAATGACCCCTACCATTCCCCAGGGGGCCCTAGGCACTGCTGTCAATTACTTCTGGAAGTCTAAGGCTGACATTTCAAAAACCCACTCTGGAATTGCACTTTCCTCATCCAGTCCCTTCTCTCTTGTTCTCATCACCCAGCTTAGACCCCAACTACAATGTTGAGCCCCCTTACGTAAAAAACAGCACTTGGTGGGGCAGGGATTTAGCTCAGTGGTGCTGCCATCTGCTTCGTAAACACAAGATCCTGAGTTCCATCCCCGGTATCAGAAAAGAAAAAAGAAACAGCATTTGGTAACCTCAGCACTCTGGGCAGCAAGTTCAATCCCAGCCCGGGCAACGCGGCAGGATCCTGTTTCAAAAAATAAAGAGCTGGGCCGGGGATTTAGCTCAGTGGTTTTGCCGCCTGCCGTGCAAGCGCAAGGACTGCATTCGATCCCCGGTAACAACAAAAAAAACCAAAAACCAAAAAATAAAGAGCTGGGCTATAACCCAGTGGGAAAGGTTTGGGTTTAAATCCCAGTACTGCCAACAAAACAAAAACAACTCAACAAAATCCATGACCACTCCGGAAGATGCACATTTGGCTGTCCCATGGCCACACTAGCAAGCCAGCTCCACACACCAGGAAGTGTGTCTTGAAGGCCAGGGTTTCCAAGGCTCAGTGCTGCTGACACTCTGGACTAGACAGCTCTTTGTTGTTGCTACTGACCTGTACAAAGTCAATGTGTACCTGCAACCCCTGTCTCTACCCACTAGAGGCCAGTAACACCCCTCACTCAAGCAGCAATAATGAACACTGGGCAAACATCCCCAGAAAGGTAAGGCTGCCCCGAGCTGGGAATTTGTAGGTAACGGAATATCAATCTCTGAGGAGAGCCCCCACACCCCTTAGGCATCAAGACAACCCTGCAGTCTTTTTTTTTTTTTGATAAAGGGGATTGAACTCAGGACCTTCTGCTTGTGAGGGAGGTGTGGTGCCCCTGAACTAAATCTAAATCCCCTGCCCAATTTTATTTCTGAGACAGGTTCTATGGAGTTCAGGCTGGCCTTGGAAGTGATTCTCCTGCCTCAGCCTCAAGTGCTGGGATTACAGGTGTGGATGGGCCACCATGCCAAGCCAACCCTGCCGTCTTATTCCACACCTACTTCCAAGAGAGGTTGGGACACCTGAAGGGAAGTCCCAACGTTCAAGCATTGAACAGCATTGAACATTGGTCAACAACAGGGAGCTGCCTCTGTTTCCTTGTAGATGATCATGCACAGCTCTGCTCTGGGCCCCAACCCAGAGAAATTCCTCTTCTATCTTCACTATCCACTGAGCACTGTGCCTCCCCTGTGAAAACTCCACCCAGAGTCCCTAACTGAGCCTCCCACGGTCCTCCCTCCACTGCCACCTCTACCTATGATGGAAGGGCATTGCTCTACCTACTGAAGGAAAGGACAAACCTTTACTGTTCTCAAAGTAGAATGTAACCACTCGTTCCGGGGAAACCCTCTCTCCAGGTGGCCCCACCTATTCCAGAGTCTCCATTATCTCTGGGCTTGGGACACACAAGTTTGGGGCTTCCTAAGGCTGACTGGTGAATATAACTATTGTAGTGTCCTGACACAAATGAACTCCCTATGCTCTTGACTTGTACAGCATTCCAACTGCAGGATGAGTAACCTTACCTGCATCTACCCAGAAATCCCAGGAAAAACTCAAGTCATCTCCAACATCCCCCTAACACTGAAATCCAAACTCAGGTGATCCTCTTCTTCACAGAACTCACCCTAAACCCTATTCATTATTCGATTTCAACAATGGTGCTCTTTAAGGGTGGGGATCATATCCCCAAATTCCTATTGTAAATTGAGAATACCACAGATTAAAAAAGACTTAAATCAAGTATGGAGGAACATATCTGTAATCCCAGCTACTTGGAAAGCTGAGACTGAAGGCTCAAGCCTGGATCACACAGTGAATACCACCCTCAAAAGAAAAACAAAAAACAAAAAATTGAGGGCTTGCGAGGGAAGGGGATAAAGCTTACTTAAAAATAAATGAGTAGGGAGCCGGGGATTTAGCTCAGTGGTTCTGACGCCTGCCTTCCAAGCACAAGGTTACTGAGTTCGATCTCTGGTACAAAACACAAGCAAACAAATAAAATGAGTAGGGATGTAACTCTGCGGTAGAGTAGTGGCCTAGCATATGTGAGGCCCTGGGCTCCATTCCTAATGAAAAAGAAAAAATTGTCCACACAGCATATTGAACCTCACTGCTTTCCCACCCTATCTTAAATGTCCTGAAATCACTTATATAAGCCCACAAATAAGCAAAATCGCACATATTCCTTTATGCTATTTCTTTTTTCAGGGGGGTACCGGGGATAGAACTCGGGACACCTTGTGCTTTCGAGGCAGGTGGTGGAACCACTGAGCTAAATTCTCGGCCCTATCCTATTTTAATTCCAATAAAAATCACCTACTCCTTGCTACCCTCCTGTCCACAGCTCAAGGGTCACTTCCGTGTCCTCAGCATTTCCTCAGACCTGACACCCCAGGATCCCCTGCCTTTGCTCCGCACGTGGCTGCCCCCCCCCCGCTGATGCACGCGCTAATTCTCCCTCCAGTCTCTGCCAGCCTAATTCCGCTAATTTAATCCCCAGATCTCTGCTCTAACCCACCCCCTTTCTACAAGAGCGTCCCACTTCCACACTCCAAATTCCGGGTCCTGTGCCCTCCTAGTATAGTCGCTGTGTCAAGTGTCTTCGGGGCCGCCCAGGCGGCGCCTGGGAACAGACTCTGCCCCACGCCGGCTCGGCCAGAGGTGACCGAGTGGCAGCGCCGGCCCGGGCCGCGAGTGATTTAGACGCCGCCCCGAGGGCCCGGGCACAGCGCGTGGGCTCCAGGAGGCGCTTCCTCCGGGAGGGAGCCGTTTCCGGTCCAGGCAGGGAGCGCGCTGTCCTGAAACTCGGACTGGGCTACTTTTGCGCCATCTCTACTTCCCGCCCCGTGCTCGCTAACTACTCTCAGCTGCGCAGAGTTCCGAGTCCCGCTCGAAACTAGGCTGGGGCGACTCACCTGGGCGTGCGCGGGCGGCAGCGGGGCACACGGTGGGCACTCGGGTCGGTCGTCCTGCGGAGGAGAACAGAGACGAGCGTCGGCGGGGCCCGGCAGGCGCACTCGCGCGCCGCGAACTTCCCGCGATTGTTACATAAGGCGGGGGCCGGACACCGGCCATCTTGCCCCGCACCGCACTTCCGCCAGCCCGCCAGCCCGCCCGCCGCAGCCCAGCCCGGCCCAGCCCGGCCCGGCCCGGCCCGGCCGCCTCCCCCTCCCCGCCAGCCAACTCACCGAGGTCGCAACTGGCGCACGGCCTCCGCGCGGCCGCAACCACTCCCGGGGCGGGGGACAGGCGGCGGGCGCGAGTGCTTTTGGCGGGAAGCGCGCGGCGGCGAGAAGAGCGAAGCGCGGCCTGCGCGCCACGGAGCCAAACTGCGAGACGAGCGCGAGCGCCGCGCAGGAAGGGGCGGGCGGGCGGGGCGGCTTCCGGGGGGGAGGGGCGGGCGGGCCGGAGTCCGCGCTCGGGTCACGGGGCGGGGCGGCACCGCCCGCCGGGGCGCAGCCAATGGGAGCGAGGCCTACAGGTGTGGCCGAGCACTGACGGCGGTAGGGATGGGGGATGTGGGATGTGGGAAGGGTGGCCCCAGCGGCCTCGCGCGGCAAGACTACGGGCCAAAGGTACGCAAGCGCGCTGAGTTCGTCGAGTGGGACCGAAAAGCCGACCCGTCCACGGAACAGCCAGCCCCAAGCACACGATCTAAGTGACACGTACGGATCACAAGACTTAAAAGATTCCCGCAGGATTCAAATGCACGGAACACGTCTGGCTCTCGCTTCGAACAGACCGGTAAGGATCTAAGCCATTACGCGCTATTAACATTTGCCTGAAAACGACAGCAAACGTGGTTCTGTGTAAATACGGGAGCTCCTTTTTAGACACAGCCTGAAGTATCTGGACGAAACGGTGTGAAGGCTGGGACGTGTTTATAAATTATCCACAATGTTAGTAGGTGGAGATACTGTAGAACAAAAACTCCATGCCTGGGTGACAGGCATAGGGGAGTTTAATATTCTGCTTCTGTGTTTGAAAATAGTCTATAATAAAAATGCTACCAACTCCACTTCATTGCTCATTCTTACTATCAGAGTAAGCTTTTCAGGACTCAGTATTCAGCTATCTCTGGAGGGGAGAGTAAGAAACCACACTCAAGTGAAACTGTTCTGAAGGAAAACTAGCCGCAAAACTGATGTATTCAGAAAGAGCACCCTCTATGAAAATGGTCTACACTGCCTAAAAATTAACTTTGCTTAAAATTCTCTTCCAATATGCACTACTTGGAATTCTAGCCGTCTGGCACGGTGCCTGACTGGCATTCCATAATCTAAGGCCAAGGAGAAGTCACTTGTTTCCAGGTGGAATGTGGATGACTGGAGTTCAAGTTAAGAGTTCAGGTGGTATATGGAGAATGAATGGTGGGAACTGATGCAGGGAGCTGGGAAGGAATAAAACATGTCTAGGAAAGATCATGGTGAGACCGGAGAATGTGAAAGAATCTGAGTGATGCTCAAAGAAATTTACCAAGCCAAGTGTGGTGGCACAGGGATTAGCTCAGTTTGGGGTTCTGAGGAAGTGACATTTAGACAGAAGCACAGCAGGGTGGGAACTCAGTTATAGAATTCCATGCAGAAAAAGAAAACTAGGGCTGGGGATTTAGCTCAGTGGTTCCACTGCTTGCCTCGCAAGCACAAGGACCTGAGGTTCGATCCCCGGTACCAAAAAAAAAAGAAAAAAGAACTCTTCTTCCCATACAGCTAAGGTTTAAAAATACAAGTTAGCAGCCTATGTTGCTTTTTCTCAAATTCTTGTATTTTTTAAATACAGCCCTTTGCCATATGTTTTAGTTGAACAGTATTAATAGTTTTATTTTGCAGTCAGACATTTTAATCTATGTATTCAGCTCTCATGAAATTCATGAAACAGACCTGGAGCTACCACTTCTGCTGCTTGTGTCTGTGGGTCTAGGGAGGCAAAATTCTGGGGTGGTACAGTTCGAGAACAGAGCCCAGACCCATTTGTTGGTGATGTCTTCTGATTCTGTGGGAAATGAGAGTTAATGGCCTAAAAAACCTCCTCCAAAGCAGCAATTCTTATCAAGTTCAATTCAGTGGGTCTTAAACATTTCATGCTATACTGGACTCACTTGACAATATGATGCAAGCGTGGACCAACCTCAACTAAGATATGCACCAAAATACACAACTGTATTTTTCAGGGGTTCACAGTATCAGCCCTGAAAACCTTGACCCAATTTACACCTGTATCAAGTCCAAAACACAGACCTATCCTAGGAGTTAAGGACCAAGAAGCTCCAAATGGATTATGATGCTATTAACATTTTGAATTCTGCTCTATTCCTTTTTTTTTTTTTTTTTAGACCAAATCTTGCTCTGTAGCCCAGGCTGGCCTTGAACTCACAGCAATCCTCCTGCCTAAGCCTCCAGAATGCTAGGATTACAGGTGTGTGCCACCCAACCTGGCTATTACTACATTTTATCCACTGAAGAGGGTATGTCATGATCTAGATTCGACAGGAGAGCAGTTTTCTGTCATCCTTTAGTTATGGGCCCCTTTTCTTAGCTTGCTTACTGTAGCTAAGTCTGGGATAATAAAAATGCCCTTATAAAAAAAATTTTAAACAACAACTTATTAGGGCCAGGGATTTAGCTCAGTGGCCTGCCTTGAAAGCACAAGGTCCTGAGTTCCATCCCAAGTTACAAAAAAAAAAAAAAGTGTGTAACAACTACTGCTGAGCATGGTGATGCACACCAGTAATCCCAGCACTATGGAAGGAGATCACCATGAGTTTGTGGCCAGACTGGGTATATAGTGAGGTTAAAACCAGCATGAACTACATAACAAGATCCCCTTTCAAAAAAACCAAAAACAAGGCTGGGGATTTAGCTCAGTGGTGCTGAGCCTGCCTCGAAAACAGAAGGTTCTGAGTTCAATCTCCAGTACCACACACACACACAAAAAAGCACAAGGACCTGAGTTTGATCCCTGGTACCAAAAAAGAAAAAAATTATTATTAAAAGGCAAAGATGACAGTATAATGTAATGTTAGGCAAATCATATCTGTAGTGATTGTTTTACAGTTAACGTAAGAAGCCAGGTGTGGTGATGCACCTGTAACACGAGTACTCAGAGGTGGAAACAGGAAGATTAGAGTTTAAGACCAGTCAAGGCTACTGAGGCTGACCAACAACAAAGACAAAAAAATTAAGGAAAAAAAATTTGTTTCCAGTACTGAGGATTGAAGGCAGGACTTTCTCATTAAGCTATATCCTCAGCCCTCTTTTTCTATCTATCTATCTAATCTATCTATCTTATCTATCTAATCTATCTATCTATCTAATCTATTTATTTATTGGTACCAGGGATTGAACTCGGGACCTTGCACTTGTGAGGCAGGCGCTGGTACTGAGCTAAATCCCTGGCCCTTTCAATTTATTTTTTACATCTTGAGACACAGTCTTGTTAAACTGCCCAGGCTGGCCTTGAATTTGTAGTCCTCTTGCTTTTGCCTCCCAGAATGCTGGGATTACAGCTGTGCCTGAAAGGTACAACCTTTTACCCTACATAGAACAAGCAATAGTTGGTTGCTGTATTGGTTACTGACTGCATTTTGTGAATGACTCAAGAAATCAACACCTTGCTAGGCTTGGTGACACACAACTATATTCCTACTTCTTGGAAGGCTGAGGCGGGAAGATCTCAACAGCATATCTAAGAAGTTCGTGTCCGAAGGTCCTGCTAAAGGAAACAGTGGATAGGAAGAGGATCCCAGATCACTACCTAGGCACCAACTTTTCTGAGGCCCTCCCTAGGTTTTGGCCGCTGGCCCCCAGGGAGTCCCTGACCACACCCCTCCAACAAGGGGATCCTTGAGCCTGCAGGGTGGGTTGGCATAGTCAGAACCAGTGTTAACAGGCCACTGGGCCACAGCATATTGCCGAGGGAGAGAACGATTGAGGAGGCCCAGAACCTAGAGATGCCGATGCTCATGAGACTACAGTGCCCACAAAGCCGAGTAAATCACACTCCAGGGAGGGCAAAAAGTGCTAGATCTAACCACCCATTTTTAACGGGGGGAAAACACACACAAGCACTCAAACTCCATTACAAGCATTCATAAACTGTTACAGAATAAAAACTTTCTGGTTATAGCAGAAAAAAAAAGGAGTCACTGAGTTTTGAATTTGTAAGAAATGAACAGAAAGAACAATGGCCTGGCAAATCACATGAAAGTACACAAAACAAAAAAGGGCAGAAACAACAGTGGGTAAGATGCAAGGAACACTGATGTCACCCAGAGATCCTCTTCAACATGTGTATAAGTAGACTTCAAGAAGCAGCAACTGATTACTGCTCCTTCCCTCAACCCCAGTACTGGGGACTGAACCGACAGCCTTTGCTCTGAGCTAAATTCCCAGCCCTTTTTAAATAGTTTTTTATTTTTATACAGGGTCACTTGTAATCCTGCCTCAGCCTTCCGGGAGTTCTGGGACTACAGGCATCCACCACCATGCCCAGCTGGTATTTGATTTTTGTCATGTCAAAGAGATCTTTTCATAGAATTCTCTTAGCCTATAAAGCTATTTTGACGTGTATTTCTATATTTCTATCTATAATCAAATTGAAATTGAGTTTCCATTTCCAAACAGTTTTAGTTTCAGAGGACAATTTCACTCACTCAAGAATTCAGATAGGAATATCCTAAATAAAACAGTCCAAATTCAGCAATACAGAAAAGCAATAACAATATAATAACCAAGATGGACTTCAGGAGTGCAAGGTTAATCTCTATAATTCAGGATCCTGCTATATCATGGGAGACAAAGTATGAGGTAAATTTTTGGGTGTCTTTTGTGTGTGCACATATTGGGAATTTAACCCACAGCATTCCCACTGACCTACATCACCAGCCTTTTTTTGTTTTTTGGTGCCAGGGATCGAACTCAGGACCTTGCGCTTGCAGGGCAGGCGGCAGAACCACTGAGCTAAATCCCCAGCCCTTTTACAATTTTTAAATTTTGAAATAGCTCTTAAGAGTTAGCTTTTGGGGGCTGGGATTTAGCTCAGTGGCACCGTGCCTGCCTTCCAAGTGCAAGGTCCTGAGTTCAATCCCCAGTACCATAAAAAAAAAAAAAAGTTAGCTTTTGGAATGAAGTATTTTTGTAGACACTCTCATTGGAATGAGGACACCTTGTAAGGTGATTATCATTTTACAGTAAACACAAAAAGCAGAGACTGAAACATCACCACAGGAATGAATGGAATCAGAAAACCTAGACTATGGGGAAGGAGCTTGTAGGCAAACACCCTGCTATGTTTGACAAATATGTCACACAGAAGAGAATCCTTTTAAGTTGGGGACTGCCGGGTCTACTCACACTAGAAATGGGGGTGGTACAAATTGAGATGTGCTATAATGTAAAATTCATATTAGATTTTGAAAACTTCATATGGAAAAGGTTAACTTATTATACTACACACAAAATATCCTAGAGGTATTAGGTTAAATTACTATTAAAGCAAACCACATTTTTTAACTATCTGGAAGTGTAAAATTACATGCCATGACTTACATTATATTTCTATTGGCTAGCACTTGTTCTGGATTAGAACATAATTTAAGAGATTACCTACGATACCTCCTCTCTACCAAGGTGGAACACCTTGTTTGGATCCTGATTCAAACCAGCCATACAAAAAACATTTAAGCAGTCTTGCAAGCGCAAGGACCCGAGTTCGATCCCCAGAACCAAAAAAAAAAACCAAAAAAACATTTAAGCAGTCTGGTCCTGTGCAGCTCTGTGGCAGAGTGCTTCCTTAACATGCACAAGGCCCTGTGATCCATCCCTAGCACTGGGGAAAAAAGTAAAGATATTACCAAGGAGCTTTCAACTATGTATTTTTTAAAAATGTGAACTATGAGTGTTGCAGTGACGTACACCTATAATCCTTAAGAGGCTGAGACAGGAGGCCAGCCTGGGCAGTTTAGTGAGGCCACCTCAAAAACAAAGGGGGGGCCAGGGATTTAGCAGTGGCGCTGAACCTGCCCCCCAATTGCAAGGGCCTGAGTTCAATCCTGGGTACAAAAAGGGGTGGGGGGGCTCGGTGGTAGAGCTTGCCTAGCATGCATGAAGCCTTGAGTTCAATCCTCAGCATTCCCCCAAAAGATGTGCAGAAAAACCTTATGGGGGCCCAGGGAATTAGTTTAGTGGTGCTACACCTGCCTCACAAACGCAAGGTCCTGAATTGGATCCCCAGTACCAAACAAAAAAAAAACTTACAGGGAATTAGGGAAGCTGCTCATTGTCAAGAACACTTTCTCTTGACATGTTTCAGACCCTGGGGTTCCAGCACAGCAACCCCTATCCCCCAAAAAAGATCTTATAAAATGGTCTGGGATTGGCTGTAAAATAAGCTGGGCTGGTCTTAGTTGAGCTCACTTCTCCCTCTGCTCACCCAGGCCTTTGTAAGACACTGGCTCAGCACAGGGTGGGGACAGGGCTCCTGTCAGATCCAGGTCCCAGTTGAACCCTGGGCAAGTGATTTCTCCCAGGCTCCATTTTCTCATCTGTGCCATGGGTTAATAAGCTCTTTTAGTCTGGTGCTGAGCACACAGGAAAGGGAGACAACTCTTGTGTGCCTGGACTTAGGAAGAGTAATGGTGGTTAAATGCTCTGGGGCCTGGTTGGTCTTTTGGCTCTCAAAGGACTTTCTTTGGCCTGATACTTCCTCCTAAATCACATTTGCACTTGAGAATTTTAGTGAAAGAACCTTCATAATGCACCCTTAAATGAAAACCTAAGTCACTTGCCAGCTTTAAAAAGTAGTAATGAGCCAGGGATTTGTCTCAGTGGTTCCACTGCCTGCTTCAAAAGCACAAGGTCCCGAGTTCTATCTCCAGTGCCAAAAAAAAAGTAATAATGGGGCCCGGGGATTTACCTCAGTGGTTACACCGCGCTTGCAGATGCCAGGACCCAAGTTCGATCCCTGGTACAAAAAAAAAAGTAATAAAGAAAAGAACATTACAAAAAAAGGTAGGGGGGACCAGGGATTTAGCTCAGTGGCACAGCAGCTGTCTCACAACCAAAAGGTCCAGTTCGATCCCCAGTAGGGGGTGGGAGGGAAGTGAGGTACAGGGCTAGCAATGCAGCTGGGTAGAGAAGCATTTGCATAGCACACAGGGGGCCCTGGGTTGGATCCCCAGGACAGATGAAAAATAGTTAAGTTAGAAAAAAAGACCTTAAAGTGTAAAAACAAATCTTACAAAATTTTATACAAGAACATAAACCTTCCAGTGCAAAAGATGGAATTGCTTTTAAAGTAATCTCTTTTTTTTTTCTTTTGGTACCGGGGATCGAACTTGGGACCTTGCGCTTTCGAGGAAAGCGCTGGAACCACTGAGCTAAATCCCTAGTTGTCCGAAGAAATCTCTTTTAAGGGCCAGGGATTTAGCTTAGTGGTTCCAGCCCCTGCCTGGCAAGCGCAAGGTCCCGCGTTCAGTCCCCCGTACCAAAAAAAGAAGAGGAAGGAAGGAAAGAAATCTCTTCAAGAATTAGCCTTTTGGTACCAGAGACTGAACTCAGAACCTTGCAGGTGCGCCTCTACTGAGCTAAATCTCGGGCCCTAGAATTAGCACTTTTAAAGCACTCCTTTTCAGGGAAGAGGGGTGGAAGGGGAGGGAAATGGGAAAGAAGATATCCAATACAGGTACAAATTCCCAATGATAAATGTTAGCATTGTGTATATCTAAAATGTACCAATAAATGTTTTGCTTCAAAAAAAAAAAAAAACAAACTCCTTTTTGCGGACAGACCCTAATATAAGTATGTACTTTTGTCTTAACCGAGTAACCGGAAAATCTCATTCTTATTAAAAAGTAAGACAGGTAGATTTCAAGAACACGATTAAAGTAGAAGAATTAGTACTGTGGCGATGGCTTTGTGAATAGTCGCTGGCGGCAGCCGGTCACAGGAGTGGCGAGGACAAGCGAACTGGCGCTCCACACCTGTAGTAGTATGCACAGCGAAAGGAAAGGTCGGAGGCGGAGCTCCGCGCAGATTGCCAACCCAGCGGGCGCGGGCACGCGCGGCGCCACGAGGAGACAGAAAAGGCCGCGGGTACCGAGCTTCGTGGGCGGGGCGCTCGACCTTGTGCAATCCAGGCTCCCGGCCACGTGGGCGCAGCCGTCGTTTCCCTGGGGCCCTGCGCCGGCCACACGCGGCCCTCGATTCCTGCCGCCACCCGAACGGCAAAAAAAATCCGCCACGCCGGCCCCAACCCGTGAAACTAGCCCCGAGGGTGCGTCGCCCGCACAGATCCCGCTTTGCTGATCGATCTCAAACGCCAGCTCGCGGTCGCAACACGAGGCTGAGACCCTATTCCACCTGGGGTGCGGAGCGCGACCTCAGATCACGCTTCCCCGAGCCCAAACCCAAGGCCTTGGTACCAACAAGAGGAGCCACTCCCAGTACAAGCGCGGTGCGGGCCCCGACGTCAGATCCGCCTGAGCCCAAACGCCAACCCAGAGGTCCCACCATGAGAAACCTATTGGTGCGGAACCCACCTCCCTGGCTGTAAGCTCCAGCCCCACAGTCTTACTCCGGGTGCTCCCCAGCGGCCTCACCTGCGGCTCCGAGTCTCCGAGCTTCCGTCTCACACCGGCGACTCGGTCGTCCCTCGGAGTACCTAGAGGGTGGAACGCGGGAGACTTGGCAGTTGCGGCACAGGCCGTTGGGGCTTGTTTACTGTCACCATGGAAACCCCAGCAGCGCGCGGGCGGAGCATCCGCGAGGCGGAGTCAACCAGCGCGCGGCGGCCCGGCTCCCGCCCGTCGAGCGCACGAGGCGCTTCCGGAAAAAGCCGTCCGGCTCTCAGCTTGCCCGGCCCCGACTCAGCCCCGCGCTCCGGGCACCAGGAACGGCAGCCCCGACAGCCCCGGCCCCCTACCCACCGCCAGTGCCGGCGCGACCGCGACTGGCTTCCTCCGACCCCACCTTCCTCACGAAGACGCTGCGAAGTGCTGCTTCCACGACGGAGCCGGAAGGACGCAAGGACGGCGGTGGGACGGGGCTTCGGCGGCGGAAGTCCGTGGGCCGAACCGCGAGGGCCCCATTGTGACGCACCCAGAACGGGCCCGGGGATTGGTCAGCCGGGGCCCAAAGAAAGGAGGGGGCGGGGGCGGGGG